TCTCGAAGGTCCATTTTAAGTTCAATATCCAACTCAAGGCTCAAGACGTGGCTTTTATGAAACTTACGTTATCATGCAACACTTAGTCATTGACCAATGTATATCATAGTACAAGGCTCTAGAGGTTAGGGGTGATCGGTTCCCGATCCGGTTCCCAAAATTGGGAACCGGGGACTAAAATGATTGGTCCTAGGATCGGGAACCGGACCCGACCGCCGGTCCAGTTCTGGTTCCTGTCCAATGGAATCAGTCACTTAAGGTTTAGTTCACATTTTACTAATGTTTGTCAATGAAGTTCACTTAAGGTTTAGTTCATATTTTACTAATTTTTTCGAAAAAAAAATGTATTAGTAATCGGTCCGGTGCAATCCGGTTCGTCCTTGGAACCAGACCGTTCGGACATTGATTTCACTTTTAGGAACCGGATCGAATCGGCCGGTTCGTGCCTGTCTGGGCGATTCTTTGTTTGGGCGGTTTACTTTGCGCACCCTTAATAGAGGTGACTCTCACGAGACTCGCATTGCCGTGTAGCACTTAGCCATTGACTACAAGGCACTAGAGGCGCCTCCCACGAAACTCGCGTCACTGTTTAGCACCTAACCCTTGACTACAAGGCCGTAGAGGTGGCTCTCACAAGACTCACGTCGCTGTATAGCACTTAGTCATTGACTAGTCCATATCACAATTGGTTTTACAAATCAAAACATATCATCTTTCGCAACTCAATTCATTGGTCAAAAAGCATAAAAAAGAAAGAAAGAAGGGCTCGCTCTTGGAGAAGAAAGAGAGAGAGAGAGAGAGAGAGAGTTTCACTAGAGAAACGGACATGGAGAAGAGAGGAAAAGGACAGATGATTCTAGCAAAAATTCGATGACCAAATGTTGTTAGAATTGGATCAAATTTCAATATGTTATTTGTTGAAATATTAACGCGAAAATGACAAGATCTTACAAATTAAGTCAATCCGAAAACACCAGAGAAATAAACGAAGAACAATAAAGGACACAAACAATTCACGCAATTCGATCAGAACGTTGGTATCTACATCCACGGAGAAAACCGATAATAAATTTTCACTATAATCGGAAAATTAGAATTATAATTACTCATACATATTTTTTATACCTAAATTAAGCCCAAACCTAAAGCGTCTACAGATAAACCATTCAATTTGAATGTAAACTCACGGCGCGAAACCACCGTGTTACTCCTCTGTGCAATCATAGAGAGCGCGACCGTGCGTCCCTCTCTTTTCACTGTTTGGCTCTTTCTCGGAATTCGCAGGCGGCTCGGAAAGAAACCCATATCTTTTACATGTCTTTTACATGTGCCCTTTCACAAGAGTCAACAAAACCAACTTTGACTGGGACCCACTGTTTGTGTGGCTACCGGGAAAGAAACTCTTACACAAGAAAGCCAATTTTCATTTGGGTTAATATAAAAAAAAACTCTAAACTAATATAATTATGATAAATTTACTTCGAATTAATTTTTTAATCACGAAAAATCTCAAATTGATATACCTGTAATAAATTTACCCCAAATTAATTTTTTGATCATCAAAAACTTTAAACTGGTAGACTTATGATAAATTTACTCTCTGTTAAATTGAATTAATATCACGAAAAATTATGAATTTGTAAACTCGTGACAAACGAAATAAAATTCTAAACTAGTACGCTTACGAATTGCTACGTGTCATCTAACTCAGCAATTTGACAATAAAATTTAACGAAAACTAACGGACGGTAAATTTGTTATAGGTATATTAATTTGGGGTTAGTTTAAGGTAAATTTATCACATATTACCAATTTGGAGTTTTTCGTAATATTTACCATTTTCTTTTTACTTTGTTTCCTTTCCTCTCTTATTGCTCCCTGGGTCCCGCTGGCTTTATTTTCCTGCTCTTGTACGGTAAAAGCCACAAGTGATAGTCTTTGCTCTTCTTATTTCAGCAATTAAAGAAGCTCGAGTCTTCATCTTGGCAAATTCGGATATTTACGAAATTGCTATAGCGGCAAAGAAAATAAATAAAGCAAATTAACAATCCTTATCTCGGATGAGTTCTTGGCAAATTGTGCTTCATAAAGTATACATATAACTTTCTATATATCCGACACCTCCTTTTGAAGGAACCAGAAATGGACCCTAGACATCTAAATGAATATATTCAACTGATTGCTTGGTCGAATGAATAGCTATAACAAACTAAATTCGGCGCTATTTGCCAAAGATGCAGTGTTCACATAAATCTAGCTTCCCTGTCTTTTGACCATTTAACAACCCCCTCTCATTCAGTATTGTCATACCTGCCTCACTCATGTGCATCAACCGCATATGCCACAACTGAGTCACGTCAGAGTCTGACTCACCTAATGAAATTGCAATAGCTCCAGTCACGGTCTCTCCGAGGAGATGATAGTGAGAATTCACTTTCTTTCCCTTCGTCACTGTCATAGCACCTTGAGAGATTTTCAGTACTCCACCTTCAGCGATGTACTTGAAATAAGGTTTTTCTTGAACTCCAGTACACGCCTCACATTTGTCACTATACGCACTACCCCATTGTACATTTGAATCCGAACTGTCCTCATCTCCACAATCTTGTAAGCTACGTTATTTCCCATCATAACTTTATCATGAGGCGTCATATCATAAAAATACCCCAAATCTGGCACCCATTTGTCTCATGATGAACTAGTAGTTATGCACAAAACAACATCTGCATCACTAGTGCTCTCCTCAGCAACATTCGTCACATTGCTTGTGGCATTCTACCTATCACCTTTATTTCTCAACTTAAGACAATATCTTCTAAAGTGCCCTTCCTTGTGACACTCAAAGTAGTTCACGCATCCTTTAGACTTTTCTATGGTGTGATTTCGACTTTCTTTTACTATGTAGCTATTGGACCCTTGATGTTGATCTCTACCACGAATCACTAGTCCCTGCGCTACATCGTGCGTCAGACTGTCATCTCGCAACTTTCTCTGCCATTCCTTATAAAACAATGCAGACTTTACATCTTCCGAAGTAATCGTAGTACGCTTATGTAGCAGTGAATCAGTAAAGTCAAGAAGCCAACAATATTATGCCATGTTTTTCATCATCAAGTATCTTACCGACGTTTTTCAAATCCATCATGAGTTTATTAAATTCATTTAGGTGGGATATGATCGACGTACCTTCAATGTATCGAAATTGATACATCCTCTTTAACATGTATAAGTGATTTGATTGTTCAAACCCTTTGTTACATAGAATGCCTGAAGTTTTTCCCATAACGCTACGTCATCCTTCTCTTCAGCCACCTCTATTAACATCCCATCAAATAGATTCAACAAGATTATACTCTTTACTTTCTCCATCAGCTCTACTTTATCAACGGCTTTCATTATAACCAGCAACCCATATTCTCCATCCAATGCCTTGGCCAAACCATGGGTTGTTGATAGTCGTACACATCTTGACGCTCTATAATCAAAAGTTGTACCTCCCGTTAAACTTATCAATTTCAACTTTCTATCCTGATTAATTGCAATAGCAAAATTTCCAAATAATAATCAAATAAGCAAAAGTCTCAAATCACAATCCAGAAAAATCCTGTCATCAAGCTCTTATACCAATTGTTGAAATATTAACACGGAAACAACGTAATCTTGCAAATTAAGTCAATGCGAAAACACTAGAGAAATAAACGAGAAACAATAAAGAACACAATCGATTTACGTGGTTCAGTCCAAATGTCGGTATCTACATCCACGAGGAGAGCCGACAATAAATAATACGCTATAATCGGATAATCATAATTACAATCATTCACACGTCCGAGTATTTTTACACCTAAATTAAGCCAAAACCTAAAGTTTTTACAAATAAATCACTTAATTTAGATGTAAAATTCACTACTCAAAATCACTGTGTTACTCTCCCGTGCGATCAAAGAGAGCTTAACCATGTGTCCATCTCTTTTCACTATTTGGCTCTTTCTCGGAATTCGTAGGCGGCTTGCTCAATGTGCGTTCCTCACGGCTGAAAACCTTGCTGAAGAGAAAAACATGTGTATTACATGTGCCCTTTCACAAGAGTCAACAAAACCAACTTTGACTAGGACCCATTGTTTGTGCGGCTGCTAGGTAGTCATGGCCACGGGCCGGTTTCGGCCCGGAACCGGCCCGGTCAAACCCGGGCCCGGCCCGTTGACCGGGCTCGCGGTTTGGAACCGGAACCGGCCTGTGCCCTACGGGCCCGGTTCCGGTTCCAGAAATTTTTGAACCGACCCGAAACCGCCGGTTCCGGGCCCGGTTCCCAAAAAAAAAAAAAGAAAAAAGAAGAAGAAGAAAGCTGCAGCACAACCTGCAGGTGCAGGCCATGCTGCTGCTGCTGCGGCCCGTTGCCAGGGCAGCCCCTGCAACGGGCAAAATTTTTAAAATAAAAAAAAAAAAACCGCCGCCGCGGCAGGCCGCACGCACGTGCGCCCCTGCGCTGGTAGCGGGTTTGCGCCTTGCGAGCCCGTCGCCAGGGCAGCCTTTAGGCTGCCCTGGCAACGGCCAAGGCCAATGCCCAAACAGGCAAAAATTTATAAAAAAAAAAAAAGATAACCGTTGCAAAATTGCAACGTTATCTTTTCTTTTTTTTTAATCCTAAATTTTCTTCTCATTTTTTCTTATAAATTCTCTCAAATTCTCTCAATACTCACAATTCTCTCAAATTCTCTTCTCTCAAGTCTCAAATTTTCTCAATCCACGCAATTCTTTCTTAATTCTCCCAATTAATCCGCTCAATTCTCTCAATCCACTCAAAAAATGGCAAGTGGAAGTCGAGTGCCAACTGGCAAAGGTAAGAATATCATGACGGAATCCCATCATTCGTTTGATCCTCGTGAATATGTAGATTTTCAAGATGATGAAATCAACATTTTTCCCGATGTGGAGCGCGTCCCGACGCAAGAAAGTTTTCATCCTCCTGCCGAAATATCTATAACAAAGGAAACGGAACGGGAATTTACATCTGACATTTGGAATCACTTTACGAAAATGGAAAGGTTTGATATTGGTCAAAAAAGGTATGATATAATTTGTAAATATTGTGGAAAAATATATAAATATACAGGTGGACAAGGATATGGAACATTTAAACGACATCTTAGGAGCAAACATCCAACCGAAACGGGAATCGATATCGGGCAACAACAAATTTCCGGGTACGTCAATCCTAACACTTCCCCTTTATTTCGTTTTAATGAAAAAACTTATAAGGAAGAATTAGGCAAATTTATTTCCATTGAGCATTTAGCATTTAATTTTGGAGAAAGATTTGGTTTTAATGAATTTGTACAAAAAGCATGTGCTCCACAAGCAAAACGTGTTCCTAGAAATTCAAATAAACGAGTAATTAAAGATCTTTACAAAAATGGAAAAAAGATTTACAAAACTTTTTTGTGCAATTTAATGGATGCGTGCATATAGGTAGTGATATTTGGAGTGATCATTGGCAAAATCATTCTTACATGGGCATAACATGTCATTGGATAGATGACGAGTGGAGTATTCAAAAAAGAGTTATTGCATTTAGAGTTTTCGGTGATAAGCATATGGCAAATAATATTTATAGAATAATTAGGCAAGTTTTAGAAGAATATTATTTGCTTAACAAAATTTTTTCAATTGGTTTTGATAATGCCGCAGCAAATGCCGCTTCAATTGCCGATTTAGAAAATATTTGTAAACCCGCTTTTGGCGGAAAATTTTTTCACATTAGATATGCTTGTCATGTTTTAAATTTATGTGTACAAGATGGTTTGAAAACTCTTGATATTTTTCTTCAATAAAAAAAAACGGCGATTCAATTTTTATGGAAACATCCCCAAAAAATGAAAGAATGGGGTAGATTTTGTAGAGAAAATGGCAAAAAGCCAAAAAGATTTCCAAGAGATGTTCCAACTCGTTGGAATTCTACTTTCCACTTGCTTAGTGAATCTTTAGCATATAAAGATTTATTATGTGCATTCATTTCTAATAATATACCTGAGATTAATTTATACCCACAAGAGTGGGATATTTGCCAAAATTTTTTAGATGTTTTAAAGGTTTTTAATGATGCAACTTATACTTTGTCCGGTGTTTATTATCCTACTACACATTTATTTTTAGTAGAGTGTACTAATATTGTCGGAATTTTTTATGAATATGAAAATGATGTTGAATTACAACATACTATAGTTGCAATGAAAATGAAGTGGCTACATTATTATAGCGAAATTCCCATTATTTATTTAGTTGCTTGTGTTTTTTATCCGCGTTGCAAATTGGATGGCTTAAATGATTTTTTGCGTACGTATTATCAATGTTTACATTATGATGCGATAAATGTTACAACCATAGTACGTGAGGTTAAAAACGTAGTAATAGAATTATATAATGAATTTTATACTAAATATAATTTAGGTGATATTGGATCTTCTCAATTTACGGAGATACAAAATGAAAGTACAGGTAAAATTAGTAGAGGGTACCAACTTTTATTACATAGACAAAAAAAAAAGGAGTAATAGGAAATATTTCTGAATTAAAGATTTATCTAACCGTTTCATTTACTGAATCCGAAGGTGGTACAGATTTTTTAATTTTGGATTGGTGGAAGAGGCACGCAAGCCAATACCCAATCCTTTCTCTTATTGCAAAACAGATTTTTTCAACCCCTTGTTCCACAGTTGCGGTCGAACAAGCATTCAGTGCCGGAGGTAATATTTTGGACGAACATCGTTCAAGATTAGCTCCAGAATCAGTGGAGATTCAAGCTTGTGTTGCTGATTGAACGAAGGCTCAATACCGGCAACAAGATATAGATCGGAATAATGAATCCGAATTCTTTAACGACGGAGATACTACCGCTACCGGTACCGGTACCGGTACTGGAACGGGTAGTGACGATTGAGGGTAAAAGAACTATTGGAGTTGGCAAATATTTCGGGAACCCTTGTTTCTCATACCGGGTACGCCCACGTGAGCTTAGGGAAACCGAAGTATAATCCGACGACATGTGACCTCTGGTCCCCTGCGCACGGAATGCTTAGGTTTTGAGATCATTTTAGGACATATATATTGTGCTCCTTTTTTTTATAGATCGTTGTAACGAATTGTAATGTGCTTAATGATAATTTATTAAGTTTAAGCCCTCTCTTTCTCTCTTGTCTTTTTGTCCCCAAATTTGATTACAATTTACATTTTAATTACAATTTATATTGAATAATGTTCCGTCACCGGAACAGTAATTTTTAATTATTTTTATTATTTTCTTTTCTGTTTTTCCTTTTCTGTTTTTTTTTTCCTTTTCCTTTTCTTTTTTTTTTCTTTTCTTCCTCCGCCGGCCATAGCCGGGGCCGGCGGAGGTCGCCGGCCTCAGGCGAGGCTGGCCTCGCCGGCGTCGGGCGAGGGCCGCCCTCGCTTGGGATGGGCGAGGCCGGCCTCGCCCGAGATCGGGCGAGGGCTCGACCTCGCCGGCCCGGGCGAGGTCGGCCTCGCCGACGCCGGCGAGGTCGAGCCTCGCCGGATCTCGCGAGGGTTCGACCTCGCCGGCGTCGGCGAGGCAGGCCTCGCCCGGTTGCGAGGCGAGGTCGAGCCTCGCCGGCGTCGGCGAGGTCGGCCTCGCCCGGTTGCGGGTGAGGTCGGCCTCGCCCAACGCCGGCGAGGTCGAGCCTCGCCGATCTAGCGAGGGTTCGACCTCGCCGGCCTCGCTGGGCCAGTAGGCGAGGTCGGCCTCGCCCGACGTCGGCGAGGTCGAGCCCTCGCCCGATCTGGTGAGGCCGGCCTCTCCCAGCCCAGGCGAGGGCGGCCCTCGCCCGACGCCGGCGAGGGCGGCCCTCGCCTGAGGCCGGCAACCTCCGCCGGCCCCGGCTATGGCCGACGGAGGAAGAAAAGAAAAGGAAAAGAAAAACAAAAAAAACAGAAAAGAAAAATTATGAACCGGAACCGGAACCGGCCGGTTCATACTTGGCCATGAACCGGAACCGCCGGTTCAGAACTGGAACCACCGGTTCAGAACCGGAACCGGTCGGTTCCGAACCGTAGTCATGACTACAGTGCTAGGAAAGAAACCCTAAAACAAGAAAACCCTTTTTCTTTTTGGTTTATTTTCTTTCCTCTCTTATCACTCCCTGGGTCCCACTTGCTTTCTTTTCCAGCTCCTGTGCGGTAAAAGCCACAAGTGATAGTTCATGGACAAAATGGCACAAATAATCTATGAATTTTATGTAATGTGTTCTTTGAACTTTTAATTTATCCAATATAACCTCTGAACTTTGATCCAATACACAATGTGATCTTAAATTTTTAATTTGTTTAATATCGTCCCTAAATTTTTTATACATGTTCAATTTAGTCCTTAAACTATATGAAAATATTCAATATAGTCCTTTCATCCTTGAACTATATGAAAATGTTCAATGTAGTCCATAAACTATATGTAATTAATGGAAGGATTGCATTGAACATTTTCATATAGTTCTGGGACTATATTGAAATGTATCAAAAGTTCATGGACGACGTTGAATAAAATAAAAGTTTAGAGACCACATTGAATATTAAGCTAAAGTTCGGGGACTACATTGAACAAATTAAAAGTTCTTACAAATTAAAAATTTAAAAACCATATTACACAGCAATTAAAAAAGCCTGAGCCTTCGTCTTGTCAGATTCGGATATTTACGAAATTACCACCGTTCCAAAGAAAATAGATAAGGCAAATTAACAACCCTTATCTCGGATGAGTTCTTGGTGAATTGTTGCGGAAGAAATTAACAACCCTTATCTTGCAAATTCGGATATTTACGAAATGGCTCAAAACCTTGCGGAAGAAATAAATCCTTCATTGGATAAGTTCTTGGTTAACCGGTGCCCGCCGCGCCGCCGCACCGAACCCCCCACCAACTTTTCTTCTTCCCCTTTTCCCTTTCCGCGCGAGCTCTCATGTCCATAGATATAAGCTGAGCATCACTTTTCCTTCTTTGACTTTTCGAAGTTTATTTTTTTGTTTGGCCCCACCCTTCTCAGCCAAATATTACATGCTGGCTAAAAGGTCATCCGCTACAATCGCGGCTGGGACAACGTTAGCTGACGAACCACAGTCGACAGTTTCCAAACAACAGAGTCATTCGGGTGCGAAGAAAGGAACAAGAACACGGGTTAGAGGATCGCTAGACGGCTAAACTATAGCTGGTCCACAACACACAATCCCAAAGTACAATAGCAAGGGTTGATGCGAAGGAAGAACATTGAAGTAAGTAGCTACAGAAGTAACTTGACTGTAAGTAGAACGATATATATTTTCCGCTAAGCAAAGGACGAATCGAAAGGGGTTCCAAAAAGACCAGAAGCTATAGCCTTTTGGGTATAAATAAACATTAACATATGGTTATTTGAGTGAATGGTAGACCTGAGATGAGTACGAAATCATAGCGCTTTAATGGAGTACAATATGACATGTTTTTCATATGTGTATGATTAGTCTTATTGAGATAGAACACATATTTTTCGATAACTTCTATAAACACATGTAAAAACACAAGTATTGATAACATCATCACTAAAAAGGTGGAGCAAATACTACTCGTAGATTCCACTGACACGGCAACCTATTGGTAAAAGGGTCACATTCTTTTCCATAAGTTCACAACTCAAAAATTCAAGTCATGTCATGAACAAATCTCTGTTCAGTTTGTACTTTGGGCATTTATTATATCGTATGGAAATCTCCAAATTTCAAACACACTTATGAGACCACAGTAATGATTGACATAATTATGAGTGAATTGAATGGTTATAACTCAAATCGAATGTTTAATAACGAACATGAGACCATTACGAAATTGCTCAGAGGGTAGGTATGCTGGTCCCTGATTTGTGTCCTTTATGACTTGTCCAAAAAGAGAAAAACTTACTCTTGGATAATGCTTGGAACGAGGAATAAAAAATAGTGCAGACTGATAAGGTAGAGATAAAAACAAATGCCGTGTGTGTCACGGGCAAACCTTGGCCATCTCTCTCTCTCTCTCTCTCTCTCTCTCTCTCTCTCTCTCTCTCTCTCCCAATGGAAAGGAAGCTCGTGCAGTACTCAGTGGTATCAATACACTCTCTTTCTTCTGTTTCATTGCCCTACCACTCTGTTGCTCATACTTTTAAGCCCACCAGAAGTGGAGATCTCTTGCGGACCTTCCTTGAACTTTTGTGCATCGACTGTGACATGGCCTCGTGTGTGGTGTTGTTTTGCAGGTGGACGCATTCACCGATACGGCCTTCAAGGGGAACCCGGCTGCGGTGTGCATCTTGGAAGAAGAGAGGGAGGAAGAGTGGTTGCAGGCAGTAGCGAGGGAGTTCAACTTCTCAGAGACCTGTTACCTGACCCGGGCCTTGGCCTCGGAACATATCGGCTCGGCCGATGGGAGATCGAGCCCGAGGTTTCGGCTCAGGTGGTTCACTCCAGTTGAGGAGGTGAGTGACTTTCGGATTCCAGGTTCCCATCGTTGCTTGCTTTAATTTGGCAGGTGCAGGATATAGAAAGTGTGTTGCTTATAAATGACTAAAATCTCTTTGCTCTGCTTCCCACGTGCATGACTATACTCGATTTTGTGCATTGCTAACTTTACTTGAGTGCTTTTGGAAACTTTCTATCTTTATCATAGCCAACAAAAATGACAATTTTCTGTTCTTTCTCGTGGTTAACATCCCGATTTTGTTTTGAATCTTCTAAGTTGGGATAATTCGTGGCTTCTGAGTTCCGCCGCATTTAATCAACCATGGACAGCTTGATGAAGAATTTGTCGACATTTTGATTTCTATTTGTCCTTCACTGTCCGTTTTAATCTCATTACTTAGGATTACAAATTAATTAGGTAATTGTCCCGTTATCAGATGAAATTAAATGGATTATCGCGTGGGACTATGAATTATGTTGATGCTGTTCGATCGACCTCCAAGTCCAATTCCGAGCCTCTGATGTACTTGAGAGATGTTTGATTTGTCGTCAAAACAATCCATTTCCGCCAGACTGTTCTATCTGGTTTTTGCTCTGATGCCTGGTGTTAGATAGAGGCAGTAAACATCAGTTTAAATAATGAATGAGATCGATGCAAGTATGTCCCATTTCAGTATGGAAGAAATGCTACTGGAAAGTGAAAACTGGTGATCATATTATCTAATCACAAACTTTACCTTTCAGGTCGAGCTCTGCGGTCATGCGACGCTAGCTGCTGCACACACTCTTTTCACATCTGGGATGGTAGATTCTGACACCATCGAGTTTATGACGTTATCTGGAATTCTGATTGCTAAAAGGGTTCCAGAAACGAAGTCATCCGACAATTCGAAGATTCAAGATGGTGATGTGCCTGGAAAATGGATCGAATTGGATTTTCCTGTAGTCCCAATCATGGAAGATGATGCCGAACGGATTTCATCTGTCTCCAAAGTTCTCAATTGCACTTCCATTGTTGAAATCAAGATGACGGCAACGGGCGACCATTTCGTAATTCCTTGATTGCAACCTGATCATTTTCTTTTCCCCATAAATACTGTATTGACTACATTGAACACCTTGCTTCCTCTTTGAGGCAATAGTTTTCATTCTGTTGAATCGAGTATTCGTACAGCAGCAGCTGGCATTAAGTTGTATTCATATAGGAAGAGGAAGTGTTTACTGCTTTCATTTCTACTTTCTTCTGCTTATTTTCGCAGGTTGTTATGCCATCAGGGAAAGAAGTTGAAGAATTTCAGCCTCGGTTTGATGAGATACAAAGATGTCCTGGGATGGGTATTATCATCACAGGATCGGCTCACCCAGACTCAGGATTTGATTTTGTCAGTCGAGTCTTTTACCCAAAACTTGGGATGAATGAGGTATTGAAGCTGATATTTTGGAAAGTTTCTTGAATTATCAATCATTCTTAGTTCATCAACTGTCCAATTAGTTGGTTATATGTCGAAAACTGTTCTGTCAACCAAATTTATGCTCTTACCACAACCCCCTGAATGAATAATCTATTTTTCAGGATCCTGTAAGTGGCAGTGCACATTGTGCTTTGGCAGCTTATTGGAGTGAAAAGCTGGGGAAAAATGATTTTGTTGCCTATGCTGTAATCTCTCTCTCTCTCTCTCTCTCTCTCTCTCTCTCTCTCTCTCTCTCTCTCTCTCTCTCTCTCTCTCTCTCTCTCTCTCTCTCTCTCTCTCTCTCTCCGTGCATGCGCAGTTTCTCTCATC